AAGGAGGAAAAACTGGAAGTAAGTGGGGCTGCAGCAGCAAAGGTGGAAGAAAGGAGAGGTCAGGGTGCTGAGCATCATAGGAAGGGATATACCACCAGTATCTCCCATGCAAAGGGGCATCCCTCTCCAGCATCCCCCACCCCTCTTGCCATTGAATTCCAAGCGTTCCCGCTCACGGCAGCAATAATTCATCCCACGTCTAATGCTCACCATTTTGTCAGGATTATCCCGATTAACCCAGAATTAATCCTGATCCCAATGTTAACAGGATTAGCGTTAAAATCGGATTAGGCTTTTTTAAACCAGACCCCTTGACTAAAGCAAGAGGCCTTCCCCACCAGATGTGCACAGCCCGCTACCAGCATCCAGATGTGAGCAGGGGCTGAGTGGGTGCTCAATACCCTGCAACAGGCCCTGTGTATGGGTGACATGGGTGAAATAGGGTGCTCCTACAGCAAGCATCTCCTGACAGCAGCATCCTGCCCTGCAAAGCACAGGAGCTGCCCGAGCATCTGAAGGTGATGAGCTTGAAGCCCGACCCTTGGATGTTGTATTCCAAAGCACAAAACACCCTTTTGCCCTCAGACATGCCCCTGCCAGGTCCATGGAGGACACGGGTGGCTGCTTGTCCCCTCTCTGCAGTCTTTCCCCTTCCTGCTGGCACCATCAGCCTCCTGCCTGATGAATATTTCAAAGCCTGGATCCTCTGCAGCCTCATGAATATTGACGGCTGATGGTTGCCACGGTGGTGGTCCCTCTCCATCCCAATCCATCACGAGCAGAGGGGCTGGGAGCTGGGACCATTCATCCTCACCTCCCAGCACTGGCTCCAACCTTGGCTCCCTTGGGATGGGTAATCATTAACCCCCTAGCAAAGGCAGATGTGCTTTTGTTCCTGGAGTTGTTTTCTCCGTGCCTCAAACAGGCATTTCCAACCTGGCATCCATAGGGAGAGCATCCTGGGTGAGACCCTGAACAAACGGGGAGGGACCAGAAACAAGCTTGATGCAGCACATCCCCTAAGGGTGAGGTGGTTGCAGGAGATGGGTTATGTGGCATCAGGGTGAGGGTGCCAGTCCTGCCTCCATCCCTGGATGTTCATCCCGACCATCCCGCTCCTCACAGTGGTGGCTGTGTTCCATCCCTGCTCTCTGGCCATGCTCCCTTGTGTGACAGCATCTTCCAAAATAAGCAAATTACTGCATCCTTCAGGGATGCTGACGGGAAGGAAGCAAATCCGGGTGTGGGAAAGCAGCAGAAAGGGGATGGGGAGCAGGGAAAGAAGGGACAAGCCCTTGTTGGGGATCACCAGGATGCAGCCACCAAGGGATGGGAGCTGGAACAGGCTGGAAACAGCAGGGACATGGGTTAGCAGCATTAAGTGACAAGGAGTTTGCAGTGACAGGTGACAAGGCTCAGCTCTCTGGCATCCCAGGCATGATTCGCTTTAACAGCTGTATACAAGGGAGACCGGGCTGTGGTTAACACATGCGGTGCCTCTGGTAAGGGGGAAAAGGCTTGAAGGGGATGGTTTGAGGTGGAAAAAACCCCATTGATAACTTCATCTGGAGGTTAAAGAGCCCCAGATCTGGGATATCAGCCCAGGTATGGCTGCAGGTCCCTCTGATGCATCTCCCCTGGTATAGAATCATAGAATGGTTTGGGTTGGAAGGGACCTTCAAAGCTTATCCAGTCCAAAGCCCCTGCAATGAGCAGGGACATCCCCAACTATATGAGGTTGCTCAGAACCAACCCAGCCTGGCCTTGAATGTGTTCGATGGTGTCACCTAGTCCCACTGCACCTCAGCTCTCCCATTCCTACACTAAGGATGCTCCTGCCATCCCTGCTGAGACAATAAATCACAACACCCAGGATCAACAGATAACCCCGAGCAGCACCCATGGACAGGGCAGAAAACCAGGACGTGCCCCAAAAGCAGCGGTTACAGCCCAAACCCCTCCTCCTGTGAGCAACAAAACAGAACTGGTAAATGCCAGTCCCACAGAGCACGGTGGATGCCAAGGCTACAGGAGCAGCAGGATACAGGAGCTAAGCCTGCCTGCTATTTGCTTGTCTCCTACATGTAAATACCACTGCCTGCCTGTAATACCAGGTCGGGAAACGCCTTGAGTCCCAGCCTGCTGTGGGATGGAAATGGCTTCCCACTAAGGAGCCATGGCATTCCTGGGAAGCTCCATGCCCTGCCCAAGCCACTGCATCCTCAGTGCTGCTGGAGCAGGAGCCAGGCAGGGACAGCACATCCCATAAAGGTGTCCCCGCTCCTGCTTTCCCCTTCCCACATCCCAGCCATTCTTTTCCCCACTTCCCTTCACTTTAATCCCTTTTATGTTCTTTTAAAGCCCTGGCATCGAAGGAGCGATTCCAAGACTCTGCCTTCTGTTCTTCCCATCCCTCCTCCAGCCCATAAGTGACAGCAAGGAGCCAGCCCACCCCTGTGTTAGCACAGCAGGAGCCCCCAGCCCTCGGTGCTGCTTCTCTTTGCTGCATCCCTAGGAAGCGATTTTCCCCCTGGCTGGATGCAGGGAGGAGTCCCTGGAGCCCCCCAGGGCTGAGATGCTCCTGCTCTGGAGCTGCTGACACCCAGAGCATGGTTTTGAACAACCCCAAATCGGCAGGGATGGAGGCTGCGAGCTGGGATGTGGTTTAGGTGATGGGAAGGCGGGTGGGTACCAGGTTGTCCCGGCCATGACAATGGCCATGGAGCAGTGGGATCAATGGCTCCATGGGAGGGGAAGGGACATCCCTGAGCTGAGCAGGGCTGGCTCCATCTAGAAGCAAGTGCAGAAACCCTAAGGATGCGCTGGGGCAGGAGGATGGAGCAGGGCAGAGGCTGTGGCAGGACCTGCTGACACGAGGGGATGCAGAGGATGGAAAGGGCTGGGGACTGCTTGGTTGCCTGGACCCCCTCTGCAACGACAGTGCCGACACAGGAGCCCATCCTCAGACAGCCACAACAGATGAACACAGCAATGCAGAGCCCCCAAATCACACACATGGAGAGCCTCAAAAGAGCCCCATCAGCATCTGCTATTGCAGATGGAGATGCCAGGGCAGGAGGAGAGTGTCCCTAGGAATTTGGCACAGCCCTTCCCACCATCCAATCCAATCCCCTCCAACCCCCATCAGCTGGGGCTCTGGCTGCAGCCCCCCCCTCTTTGGAGAAGGGATGGGGAAGGGTTGAGTTTGCATCCCCAGCAGTGATGGGTGGCACAGACAGGGAACCGAAAGCTTTCTTATCTGAGATTGCAGCTTCCCAGCTGAAGGCCAAGCCTGCAGCTCCACAAGACCCCAGGGGATGCAGATGGCTGCAGTGGCCTCAAGGAAGCCCCCAGCACCTGCCTGTGGGCTCAGCATCCCCACAGGGCTCTCCCCATGACAAGCATCCTCAGCTGCTTCTGTCTCATGCCCCACTTGTTATGGGGTCAGGCAGCTGCCAGCCTCCCTCTGCTGTGATTTATCCCATAACACATTCCCAGGCAGGATGCTCCCCTTGCAATGCAAGGCACTTGGGTGGGAAAAGAGATCCCAATCTCTGCGGATGCAAACCCAAAGAGGACCCCACTGGGATGCGTGAACCCCTCAAGTTTGTCCCCGTTTTACTTCTTACTTACGAAAAGAAAGAACAAAATCAAACCAAATTAAGGCTTTGGCACCTTCCCCCATTCCCAGTGTTGGGAATGTCACTGGGAGCACGCGGTCAGTGAGAACTCAGACAGCTGAACGCTCGGGGAGCTGCTGCTCACCCCCTCGTGACACCGCGAGTCCTTTGGGAATGAAAACCCGGAGCAAGTGCACATATTCTGCATTCTACAGCTCCTCCGCTCGCCGCTGCCATCCAAGAGCCTGTGTTTTCCACATTGGAAAAGCAAACCCGCCCGGGATAACGCGCCAAGGTCATCCAGCAACGCGCCTGGCCTTGAAGTGTTGCCACCGCATCCCTGGGTGAGCAGGAGGGAGGAAGGGCAAGGGGATGATGGTGCATTCACCCTGCCAGACAATGGGGTAACTGTTTGCAAGGTGCTGGCAGGAATCAGACCCTTGCTGCTGCCAGGAGGCTCCTGCCATGGTCCCCTTTGGGTAGCCTGGGAGAGGTGGGTTCAAGCACAAAGATCCCAGTGCTATAAAGGAAACACTAATGACTGAGGGCTGGGGCAGCCTGGAGGAGAGAAGGCTCCTGAAGGGGAGACCTTAGAGCAGCTCCAGTGCCTAAAGGGGCTGCAGGAAAGCTGGAGAGGGGCTTGGGACAAGGGATGTAGGGACAGGGCAAGGGGAATGGCTTGAACCTGCCCGAGGGGAGACTGAGCTGAGCTCTTAGGCAGAAGCTCTTCCCTGTGAGGGTGCTGAGGCGCTGGCACAGGGTGCCCAGAGAAGCTGTGGCTGCCCCATCCCTGGCAGTGTTCAAGGCCAGGTTGGACACAGGGGCTTGGAGCAAGCTGCTCCAGTGGAAGGGGTCCCTGCCCGTGGCAGGGGTTGGAGCTGGGTGAGCTTTAAGCTCCCTTCCCACCCAGACCAGGCTGGGATTTCTCTATTCTGCTTCTCCTGCAGCCTCCTGATGAACAGGCTGGTACCGTAACACCCAAACAACAGAGCACAGGATGGAGACAGAGATGTGATGGCCAACACAGGACAGAGCTGCCCCTTCTCCTCCCGCAGCTCTCAGCCTGTCCTTTTCCCAGCATTAAGGTTTCTTCTGCCACCAAATAACTCCAAAGCACCATGGGGTGATAGTGGGCTAAAGGAGGGCAGGGTGCACACCACCCCTCTCAGAGAACAGGTTTGTATCTACACCACAACTTCAGCCAGAAGCCTAAAGATCCATCTCATGAGCTTAAGTTGCTGCTGAGCTAAGGACAAACCACTTTGGCACAGAATTCCTTAACAAAACACCCCCCTCCACCCCTACACAGACAGAGAGGAGGCAAGGATGGAAAAGTGCATGCATTTCAAAGAGAAGCATGGAAAAATCAGGAATACTGACCTTAAAGCTCCAGTAGTTGGGTTGCTAATGAAAAAAAATCAAACAACAAAAACAAAAGGAAACAAAGAAAGAACATTAAGATTCCGCTTTGACTTTTGGTTTCCTCCTGAGAATTGGTCACTTTAAGCAGTGACATTAAACCTGCTCTCGTTTCTGCTTCAAGTATCCCCTCCCAACGGGTTCCTTAAGTTTCATGCTGCTAAGGGCTGGTGAAGGGGGAGCGGGATCATGCAAGCAGGCAGGGATGGTGACTGCACTGAATGCAGACTGGGGTGCAAAGGAAGGGAAGCGAAGCAAAGCAGGGAGCGGGATGGCAGCCCAGTGTCGCTACTGGAGTCACTGGTGTGCCCATGTCCCAAGTGTTGGTCAGGCTGCTGCCCTGGGAGCTGGTGCTGGAAGCCAGGATGATGTTCATTTATAAAGGGATCTTCCAATCCCCCTTCCCTGCCCTGGCCACCTCCCTCTGGTGCTTCTTCACTGTTTCCACTGGTGTCAAGTCAATGTGCTACAGCGAGTGACAGGAGCTGGCATCACTTACAGCCCAGCACGTTGCAGAGCCTGGGAGCTTCCTTCCGGTGGGTTAGGGGATAGAATAGGATCAGAGAATCAAGTAGGTTGGAAAAGACCTTTAAGGTCATCAAATCTGATGGCTGGACTTGATGATCTTGAAGGTCTGTTCAACCTAGTTGGTTCTATGATTCTATCCTATGTGCTGAGGATGCTCAGAGCTGCAGCTCATGGCAATACCCATATATGAGTTAGAGACTGGGGACCCGCTCCCAGGGCAGCACTGGGCTCACACAACCAGGATGGAGCCCAGTGGACAATGTGGGGACCGGATGGGGACAGGAGAGATTTGGGCAAAGCAGGGATGAGCTTGGCACAGCAGCAGCACAAGCAGCTTCATCCCACCCTGGAGATGATCTCCCAGTGCCATCCCAGTGCCAACCCCAGCTCCCACAGCACCACAAGACCTTGACAGGAGGGAAGTTAAACCTGGTGAGGATCCACCTTGCTGGAAGGGGATGCTTTTCTGGCAGCACTGAGAGGAGCAGATAATGGGAAGGGTGGAAGAAACGGGGACAAAGCAGCTTTTATCCCAGCGCTCTTTTTATTGGGATCAAAGTTCTCGGCTGCTCTTTTCTCCCCTCTCACACCCGCCTATCACCTTGCTTTTATACAGTGGTTATTTCTCCACCACAATCACTACGGCTGCAAACCTGGTTTGTTATTTTGGGTTATTATCTTAAATGGAAAGTAACCCCCCTACACATACCAAGCTCCCTGTCCCCACCAGTCCCAGCAATGCCCTGGTGCCTGCCAAGACCATTCATCCAAGGCCTGGCTGTTGGGGAATTAACCCTTCTGCTGACAAGGTAAATACAGGTCTAGCCTAGGTATATAAACACCAATGCACTTGTTAGGCTCATCTCGAGCACCAGCAGGATGCTCTTATTCGTCTGAACCGCGTTCAAGATGCAGTTCACGTTAATATTCCACAAGACATCCGTAGAGCCAAAGTTTGGCCTCAACCAAACCCAAACGGTTTGAAAAGTGTTTGAAGTCAAACAACTGCAGTGTTTTCATGCAGACGAGCCTCAAGGCACAAAGGTCTTTTCCAAGGGCACATCGTGACTCAGAGGCAGAACCAGAAATAGAAGCCCAGAGCTGTGATTACCAGGCACCATTAGATAACAACCAGCAGGATCCAAGCCTATCCTGGGCACATCAAGCTCTTCCAAAACACCAGGATCTTGGAAGTCAGAAACCGCCTCAGGATGCTTTTTGGTCCTAAACGACTCCATCCATCACATCTACAATTAACACCCCCGCTGCACCAGCACAAGGCCCACTGGCAGCACTGGTACCTGCCTGGCCATGCACAGGAGCACATCCCAAACTGCAGCACTGCCCTGTGTCGGTAGAAGCTCACAGCATCAGCACATCCTCGGAGCTCGCTGTCTCAGGGAGGTGAGCAGCATTGCATCAGCTCCTGAAGGCTTTGACATGCTGTGCCTTGATGGGGAAACAGCTCCAGCTAAGCTGCACAGGGCAGCAGTTTTGTGGCTCTGCTGCTGCTGCTCAGCTGCACGCAGCCCAACTCCCCAGGGCCAGGCTTGGATGCTGCCTCCCAGGAAATGCTGCATGAGAGACCCTTAATAAACCACAGCCAGGAGGGAAGCCTTCATCCCCTCCCATTGCCACACTCACCCCCTTTGGCATCCAGTTCTCCCCACCAGTACACCCAGACAAGGAGGGAAGCAACAGAACCCCCTACCCAGGAGGGCAACAAGGAGGTGCTTGGTCCCTGAAAACATGGACTGAAGGGATGCTCACCCGCCCAGGTCCTCTGTGCTTTGAATGGCTGCAATGGGCCTCAACATATATTTTGGGAAGAGTGGTCAATACCAGTCTGTCCCAGTCCCCAAAGGGCCCAAACTCAGTCTGTGGTAGGAGAGGATGCTCTTGACTTTGTCCTTGTGCAACTTTGGGTTTTTTCCTCCATACTCTTCCTTTTGCTGTTGAAGTGGCTCAGTAATTTTCCTCAGACCCTGATATTACTGATCCTATCTCCTGCCAGCCCTTGGTATGCATTTTATTTATTATTTTAGGATGACTGGACAGGCTTATCACAAAGTCCATAAATTACATCCCCACCGCACACAACCACTCCCCATCAAACCGGTGATGAGCTTGTCTGAACCCCAAAGTGCTGTGGAATGGAATCCAGAATATTCTGGAAGCAATTTGGGCTGGTTTGCATGACTTGAAGCACACACCAGGATGCCTTGGCACAAACACTCTCCCATGTCCCTGGATCCAGCCCCTTCGCTGGCATCCCCATGAGCGATGCGGGACCCCTAAGCAAAGGAGCTGGGTATGGGTTGGATGCGGGGTAGGGGATGCGCTGCCTGCCCTGCCTGTTCCCTGCCAAGAGGCAGGGCTGTCCAGGACCTACAATCTGGTGCTGTCTACCATGGCCAAGCAGGGGATGGACACCACCTTTCAGGTCTCCATCTGTCCTTGCAGGCTTTGCTGTTGCACCAGCCCGTCCTTCATCCACCCCAAATCTCCCAAAGCAAAGAGGACACATTCCCCCAGCACATACAGCGATAGGGCACAGCCCCAGCTTTCAATGCAGCCCACCCCAAAGGCAGGGGACAGAGCAGGGACAGCCCCAGCTCCCCTGCAAGCAACCCAGCATCCAGCCAGCCTGGCAAGGGAGGGTTTGTACAGAGAGGAGAAGGCCAAGGTAGAATTAACATATCGCTGGCTCTTCAAAAGCATCAAAGGGAGATAATGGTCTGAGAGAGGATTTGAAGCGACAGCCTTGTTACAAGCAATAAACCAGGCAGCTCGCTTGCAGCAGGGCTGTGCAGAAGGTATGGAGAATTACAAAGGCTGAGATGATAATTGCGATGAAAGTCATGTCCATGATGCTGCAAAACGATGGACTAATGAGGACTGGGGCCCCCCTAAAAGCACAGACGTGCACATGTGTGCGCAGGCACACGTTTACCAGCTGGAACAAGAGCAAAACGGGGCTTGAGATGCTCCTGTGAACCCATGAGGGAACCTATGCACACATGAATGCTTGGAGAGATGCACTTGCATGAGTGCTGCAGAAGAGAGGAAAACCAGAGGTGGGGGGTTGTATTGAAGAGCATGGTGGAGTTTAACAGTCATATTCTTTATAGTCTTTATGAGATTATCCCAGGAGAAGACAGGAGGTAAATGGAGGAAATCCAAGTGAGTCACTGCCTTGACCGAGGCAGACTTCCCCAGGTTAGCAATTAGAACACAGATCTGCTAGTGATTAACAAGGCAGCACTGAATGCATCCCTCTAAACCAGGCAGCATCTCCAGTGCGCTCCACCAAAGGGAGGGACAGAGGCTTCTTAATTCACCCGTTTTCAGGAGCTGCCGTTTCTGATGGAGTCCCCCTCGGGCACAATGTCTTGACAAACAAAACTCCCCTTGAAAAATAGCACTAAAGGGAATTTAATCTGCTTTTGCCTTATTAAAGTTGGGGAATTTATTTTTTTTAATGCTTTCCAGCACAAGAGAAAGGGAATGAAAGTGGAAATAGCAAAATGACAAGATAAAGAGTCAAATGCAAACAGGAACCTGATAGAGTGAAGAGCGACCCCGGCGCTGTGCATTGCAGATACTGTCATCAGAGGCCTCGCAGTTATTGCAGGAGCACCTCTCAAACCTGAGCATCTCAGCACCCAGGAGAGAGACAAGGTGGGATGTGGGAGCACAGGGGATGGTTCCCATCAGACCTGGGCTTCTGAGGGGCTTCAGGGAGTCACCCAGCCCAGACCCCACCATGCAAAGGGTACCAAGAGGCTTGTTTTGCTTGTCTTTCAGGCATGTTCAGGCAGAGACTTGGGGTTTATGACACCTCTCTCCAGTCCCCAGCCCAAAGATGCTCTGAAGGGCACCAAGAGATGGCATCAGATGGCTTGTGACAGTGAGCAGGTATCACCGACAGACCCCTGGCACCCTGCACCAGCCCTCATCTGCACACACCCCCCAGCCTGCTCTCCATAGGAGGTTCATCAGCGCTCCATCAGTGACTATGGCCTTGACCTACAACACCCAGGTGATATTAGAGCACAAGCGCTTTGGAATGTCCATGGATTTATGCTCCTGACCCTTCCTTTCCCGATGCCAACACAAAGCAAATCGACAACGCCTGCTCCTAGCAGTGCACCCCCAGAGTAGCTCTGCTGAGGACCACCCGTGTTTGGGTGTTCAGAATCCCCCTTCTGTGGCCTCCAAGGTCAAGGTCTCTGTGCCATCACTGCCCATACCCTGCAGCAGCCAGAGCAGGAAGCAGCCATGCACCCCAGCACAGGGACCAGGATCCCCTCCAACCTCCATCCCGCTGCTGGCGCATGGGAAGAACAGCCAAGGTGCAGGGCCAAAGGTTTTGGGGGGGGAAGCAGGCAGAAGTTGGGCAGATCAGATTGCAGAGTAGCTATGGCAACGGCACGGCGTAGGTGGACCAGCACAAT